TATTTTCACATAATAATACGCATTTGCAAATTCTTTTAAGCATTTGAGTTATTTCAGAACACGCGGTTAAATTTCAACCCAACTATATATATGACTTCCATAAATGTTTTCGTTCTTTAAATACATATTGCTAAAGTTTTTTATGCACTTATATAGAGATTTACTGTAGTTGGTCTGAAATTTGATTGCGCATTTAGAGAGAGTGCACTTATAGAGGTGCACTTATGTAGATTTACTTCTGGAGAAATAGATCGGTACAAATTAAAAATCTTAAAAAAAATATTAGGATTGATGACTATGCGTTCCACTATAAATGATTCCAAATTCATAATTTTATTTAGTAGAAAGGTAAATAATAATACAGCTGATTCGACCAGTGATAGACTAGTTGAATTAAAATTAATGTTATACGATGTGATTTATTTAAAATTTAATTCTTGATAAATTATTTACGCGAATTGTACAATTGTTTCAATACGTACTTCTGGGTTAAGTTTTTACCTACAAGTTTTTGCTCACATGCATTCAAATATAAGAGTAACTATATTATATTGTAGTCGTGAAAGGGGGTGCAAATAAGCGATAAGCCAAATTAACTCAAACGGTGTACGGAGAAATAATATTGAACTTTAAATATAGTGAATTGGAAGAAATTTTTTTAAAAAAATCATACTAATTAATAAAATTAAGAAATTAAGAAATTAGAAAGTTTCTCGGATTATGAAAATTTCGGTAGTGTATTTAGGACACATTATATATCAGAAAATCATTTAAACTCTGCAAGAAATATAAAAATGTTCTGAATAAAACATATTTTGGCTATTTATTGTTATTACTAACTAGGGGAGTGGATGTAAGATACGGGAAGAACTTATTGGAGCATTGGCTTAAAAAGTGTCATATGTAAATATTTTAATTAATTAATTATTTATTTTATTATCATTTTCTTTTTTATTTTATTTTATTTACTTTTATTAATTTTTTTTTATTATGCGGGGTGAACAATCAATATTGTTCTCATTAAACGATACCTATTGTATGGTATTCGGTCGACATCCTCATAGTGATACAAATTCAAGTGACATTCTAATAGCAGAAAATAATACAATTCGGATATTAATTAATTGGAAATTCTACTACAGATGGCACCATAGTTAGGATATCGAATTAGGAAACACGGAAGATCCCGAGTTGGAAAACATGGAGAGTCCCGAATTCGAAAGTATGGAAGATCCCAAATTAGAAGCATGGAAAGTTCCGAATTAGAAGGCATGGAAGGTCACGAATTAGAAGGGATAGAAGGCTCCAAATTAGGAAGCATTGAAGGTTCTGAATTTGGTGACGATGAATTAGGTTCCGAATTTGGATGCTTTAAATTAGAGAATTTTGAAAGTAGTTCTGAAATGACTATTGTATCAGATTATAGTAACGAAATTATTGATGAAAACATTAACATTCAATAAATTATAGAAATTAGTGATTCAGAATCAATTGAAAATCGATATACTGTACTGCTATTCAAAAGGAAAAGTGACGGGCTACTTCTGTTGAAAACCCGAAATAGAAAATGT